TTAGCCCTCAAATTAGAGTCTCTTCTTGTCTCTATTCATCATCGTCATCCCTCTATTTGTTTCTCAAGTCTCTCACCTCAACTCATCTCAAGTTTCAAATCTTTCATCATTCACAGTGTACTAAAATGGGTAGAAGATGAGATTCTCTATGTTGTATTGCTAATTTTCTTTTTCATTTTTAACTGATATGTCGTATTGCTCTTGAAAATTGATTCATCTGGAATTGTTTGATGGTTAATAGAGTTTGGGCCAAGCCTGAACTGCTAATTTGAATCAAAAGAACTGATAACGAAACATGGTGTCAATCTGTTTAGTTTCAAAATTTTGTTGTTCGGTTTGGATTGTAGCTAGCCCAATTCAATTAGCAAAGGACGATGTGTTTATTTTATAGTGGAATACTTTAAAACTACATAAACATAGTCTCGGTCTGTTTATTTTGCTAGAAAATGCCAAAATAATTTATAAAAAGCGTAATTTATTGTGCCAAATGTTTTAGCGACCATGACATCGGTGGTTGCAGACGATTAGTTTCAGGACCATTCAGTGGTCGCTGGAGTTGAGTGGTATACTGCAACCATCACTATTGGTCGCTAGAAAATGCCAAAATCATTAAAAAAAAAAAGTGGGAATTTATTGCGCCAAATGTTTTGGCGACAACATTAGTGATTGCAGAAGATTAGGTTCAGGGACCATTTAGTGGTCGCTAGAGTGGAGTGATATATTGCAACCATCAACATTGGTCGCTAGAAAATGCCAAAATAATTTTAAAAAAGCTTTTGGCTACCACGACATTTGTGGTTGCAGAAGATTAGGTTCAGGGACCATTTAGTGGCCGCTGGAGTAGAGTGGTATTCTGCAACTATCAACATTGGTCGCTAGAAAATGCCAAAATCATTTTAAAAAGCGGGAATTAATTGCGCCAAATATTTTGGCAACCACGTCATCGGTGGTTGCAGAAGATTAGGTTCAGGGACCATTTAGTGGTCGCTAGTGCGGTTTTCATACAAGGAAAATTTTTTGCTCGTTTCCCACACTACCTTTACCAACCAATCAAATGTATGGTCCCTAATTCTCTGAACCAGCGACCAAACATTGGTCACAAAAGAACATAACAAAATTAGTCCAATTTTACTAGACCAAAACTTATACCAACGATTAGTTGGTCGTTGATCGTGTCTTATAGCAACCATGTTGTGTTGGTCGCTACATCTTTGATCGGTGGAGCCCCTTTTTTGTAGTGGGTGAATTTGTGAGTTTTTGTTCTCCTCTAATTTATCAAGCATGTTTATTCGAACATAGATTGTTCTAATTCACTAGATAAGTCATCATTTTTTAAATTACAAATCCTTAAATGCTAGCAAGCACGTGAGTTGACGCACAAATGAGTAACTTACAAAAAATAAAAGTAGAGGAATTTGAATATCAATTAAATTAAACCCTTTGAAATTTTGAGCTAAAAGCATATAATAGACGAATTTCTCACAACAGATGACTATAATTTTTTATGCAATAAAATCTTCCTAATCTTAACTCTTTAATATAGATTAATTATATAATTATAACAACAAATAAATTCATATTATGATTGATAAACTAAAGTCCACAAAATGTGTGGTAATCATTATCGAACATGGGTGCCTATGGACAAGAATGTGGGCATGATACGCAAATTATTTGGAGGGAAACTAGAAGAATTGGATGTGCTTGAGCAGAGGGCGAACGCTGAACTTGTTAGGGAGCACAATCGAACTTACAAAGTAATTGGGAGAAATTTTACAATCGAAAATTTACGTCCAAAAAAATCATACCTCATTTAATTTTGCTCGAAAATTTTCATGGGATGTGACTTTTTCAGATGTAAAATTTCGAAAAAAATTTATGTCATATTCCATATAAAATTTAATAATAAAA